AAACACTGGCATGCATCCACTGAGACATCTCGAGCAAGGCAAAGGATGTCATCCTCCCACTTTACTCTGCCTTTGTGAGATTGCAACTGGAGTACTGCATCCAGTTCTGGGCACCACACCTCCAGGATGTGGAGAAGCTCAAAAGAATCCAGAGGAGGGCCAAATGCATGATTAAAGGCCTGGAGACCAAGGCATATGAGGAGAAGCTGAGGGACTTGGGATTGTTCAGCCTGGAGAAGAGAAGACTCAGGGGGGATTTGGTCACAGCCTATATCGGGGCATACATCAGGGCTTGGGGAAGCATCTATTCACCAAAGCCCCCTAGGGGAGGACAAGAAATAATGGCCACAAGCTGATTGGAGATCACTTTAGGCTAGACATAAGGAAAAACGTCTTAACAAGACAAGTGCTGAGGGTTTGCAACAGGCTCACCCCAAGAAGTGGTACAGTCACCCACCCTGGCAATCTTTAAAAAATATCTTGATGCCCATCTTGCTGGGATCACTTGATCCCAGCAGTCTTTCCTGCCCATGTGCAGGGGGGGCTGGACCCGATGATCTGTAAGGTCCCTTCCAGCCCCTAACAGCTATGAAACTATGAATACACTGACAGAACAGAACATGAACTGTATGATGACCACAGGGACATCAATCAATAGTACCTGGAAGTGAAGAGTCATTAGAGGAGAAAGAATACAAAAGAAGGGATTTCAGAGCAGCAAAAGTTCCCTGAGGGGGGATCCCGAGGCCACCATGGACAGAGGGCACACCACCAGCCTTTCTCACCCACCCCACCGGGGGGTGGGGAGGGCGCCGGCCTCGGCCCTCAACCTCCAAGGCTGCTGACATTTGACATTCCAGAAAGAACCACAGGGTAAAACTTGAATACTTGCTAGACCATGAAACTAGAAGATATAGAATGGGGGGTGGGGGCAGGATTTTGTTTGTCTTGCTTGCATTACTCTCATCTGCTATCACTATGTATCAATAAAATTTGCTTGTTATCAAATGGAAGAAGTTGTGGTTGGTCTGAGGGTTTGGGTCCATCCAGAACAAGGTATCTGGGTCATAAATGCAGTCCTAACACCTACCAGGAAAATCAAACTGACACAGAAGCTTTCTATTTCCCCACCAGTTCAGACTGTGGTCTCTGTAGGCAATATATCTTTGGGAAGTAGAGTCCTGGTTACATCTGAGAGCAGCTCCATTGCCCTGCATGGGTTTGGGGGTGGGGTGAGAAGCACTGCAGTTTGGGATACTTGGAGAATGAACAAGGCACACTAGGCACAGAATTCTGTGTCCACACATACCATTTCACTGGTAACAAGGATCAGCTTAAAATACTACTTGATTTTCCTGGTGTGCTTTTGAAATGTACCAGGAAGTTTAAACTGGTCTAAAGTGATTAGACCCTTGGGTATTGAGTGTATGTAGAAGGTTGACGCGCTTATCATGGGAACGCTTGGATCCTAGGACCCAAGCAACGATAGCGTCCTGTGTGCCTGCCGCATCTCCCGCTGCTACACCAAGCTGACGTGCTGCCTCATGGTGTTTAACATGATCTGCTGGTCCCGTGACATCTACGTAGAGCACATCATGGGCCACCGCCAATACAATGACCCTGCCAGACTGACCGCCACTGAACTGGACCCAGAGGGGCCACCTGAACCCCCCTCTGCACCTGATGGACTTTGAGAGGAATGTTCAACTACAGACCACTCCACTCCACCCGGAGGACTCCCACGATAAATATCTGTATGGACTGAGAAACTTTCTTTGACCTACTCCCCACACCATTGTGGACCATTGTACAGGTTTGTGTGCATCTATCTTCTTTCCCTCTGGGTGTCACTAACCCCCTCCCTCCCCTTCTCCCACCCCCTGGGCTTAGTTGGCTAACACTATATTTTCTGTAACCTAGGTGCATTCCCCTCCTCACCCCCATCCCTCTTATGTTAGTCCCTTGCTTGGGGGCTCTCTATTTCTCTACTGGCTTTGTCATCTTTTTGGTTCATAACTGTTAACATCTACTAATGAAATTCAATCTGTTCTAAGCATTACGTCCATCCACACCCTAACTGTTTTTATTACAAGGAATTGCCGCTAATTATAAAATGTTGTTGTGCCAATTAGTGTAATTGGAAAATGGACAAATTCTTATAAAAAAGTTAACAAGGTGTGTTATTACTTAAAAAAAAATTGTAACGGTTTCTGTAGTTTGGGTGCATTTGTTGTGCTAACCAGGAAATGGTTAAGGAATTGAGAATGTAAACATTAGGGAATTATTAGTTTAGCTCTGCAGACTGATTAACACAATCTGCTTTATATTTAATACTGGATATGTTAGCTAGCCAATACTATGGAACATGTTGCTACTTAAAAGAGCCTCCCAAGCCCACTGAAGTCAATGCAAAACCCACAGAAATCAAACTCTCTGATTCAGGAAAAAATTAGTACCAAGATGAAGACTTACCAAGTAATTAAACCTCCTATCATTAATGAATATACCTATGCCGCGCTTGCACTGCTGGGGGGCATGCACTGGTGGGCAGATCCTGTTCCACCTACCCCAGAAATGTGTCAGTGAAGCCATTTTAAGGAGACACCCGTTCCCCCCTCCCCCAATGTCAAGTACTCCAGAGATTGAGGTCTTGAGGGTGGCTGTAGATGTATGTCCCTGGTGCAACTTCTACGGTTCATTCCTGGGTTTGGTACATGGGATCATGAGCAGGTGGGTGGAGGTAGACTGAGGAGTACCTGTCCACAGAAGCCTTGGTGACAAACCCAAAGAGCATTAAATATGTGATTGGGGGCCCTTACTGAAGCAAAGTCTGACATGATGTATGAGAACGGTGGTAGTGGTAGTGGTAGAAAGATAAGATTACAATAAAAAGATAGCCATGAGTGCTTTAGATTTCTGACATGGTTCTGACACACTAGATCTGATGATGATGACAATAACAACAACAACCCTAAACTGCTGGATTTTCCTTTCCCTTGTCATTTTAATTTGACTACCATAGGCTTGAAGATAGGTGGCCAAAACTTGTCAGCACTTTAATACTTCTTTAGTATTGGAGGAAGACAAGAGAGTTAACAAGAGCCCAATGAAGGCAAAGCACTGGCACAGTATGATCTCAGGGGACATAACTGAACTTCAGCTAGACAGGCATTCTGATCAAGTACAGTTAAAAAAAAGATAAAGGATTGCACTTTAATAGCCTCCACATTACTTCCTCCTTCCATCATTGATCCTGTTCTTTTTTTATCTTTTCTTCAATTCATTTTCCATCCCTTATCATCCTTATTTTCTTGCAGCCCTCCATACTAAAAAATATCTATGGCAAGAGACAACCATATATTTTATAACTGCCACATTATCTTCTTGGCGTTAAAACCAAACTGGGAAGTTCATGCCAAAACGCCTTTGAATTCTGGTGGGGTACAGCCGTGACTCTCAAAGTATGCGGGACATACCCTGTATCTTTGATTCCTATTCAGATCCGAAGTGGGAAAGGGCATGTTTTCCAGTGCAGATAAACCAAACCAGTTGTTATGAGCTTGCTGTCCAGGATTACAGAACTCTGATGAGCTGAGAGTTAAAATGGTGGACACTTACATACGGGAGGCAGAATTTTATAGACATTTCACCACCTTCACTTCCAAACACAAGCCTTCACCTTAATTCCCCTGCTACATTAAATTCAATTTAGACATAAATCTGCATCCAAGACATCCTTCTCTCTCATTACCATTTCCTCAAAATTTTTCATCCCTTATTTTGTAACAGAAAATGTATATAGTTAAAGATAATTCTTCCTTAAGGGGGCAAACCGTCAATTAAAGACATTAGGTAATTGCTTGTTAATATTACTTCTCAAAGTGTTATTTCCCAGACAGACCTATTCCCCTGGACTCATCATTATGGTATCTAACCACCTAAGTTGTTGACTTCCAGCAGCTGCAAAATTATTAGATTTAGGTAAATGGTTTCTTATTGCTTTTCCTGTTCTCTCTTAGCCTAAGCTCAGCACCTTCTACTGTTCATCGCTGTCTTCTTTCTTGTAACAGGATATGGTAGCACATTTTCAGCTGCCTCCAGAAGGCTTAACAGTCTCAACTAAGAGAAAAAAATCAACCGCTTTTTTCCCGTGGGTATTATTCATACACTGTATGCAGAATGGGGATGTAGCCAACAGTTAGCAATGTATACATATAATAATAGATTCATTCCTCCTTTGGTGCAAAATATTATATATTCCTTTGACTCAAAATAATACCATATAGTCTATGTTATTGAGAGATCAAGAATGCACTGTACATTTCAGTAGCAGGTGCCTTACTCATGGGTGTACCTTGTACATTGAACACCCCAGCAGTTTGCCTCTATGTGGAATGTACAGACCAGCTTCTTATGAGATTGTACAATGGCTAACACAATGGGCCCTTGATTGTGATTGGCTTTTCGATAGCATAACACAAACAATAATCAAGAGACAAGGAAAAAATCCAAAATGTTTAAAACACCTTTCAACAATTTTCCTAATAAATATTTCCTAGTCATATTTTAATCAATATTTTCTACAGAGAGATTTCAATTTTGTCCAAAACAAGTTAAATCATCCCGTTGTTAAAACCAAATTAATATTTCTCAAGTGCTCTGAAAAGTAAGTGCTTGCCAGTTTCACTTTCTAGGGCAGAAAGAAAAATTGACAACAACCTTCAGCCACGCAGCTGGCAAGCTGCTTTGGTTCTCCCAAAATGAAAGGGATTTTTTTCTGGAAATGCCTTCCCATGAAGAAGTCCACATTTTTTACTTCATCCTCATGCAAAACTAAAATTCGCTCAAGTCTTGTTGTTTTGTTTTCCAGCCAGCTCAATCAGTTAGCTATAAGACATTTTCTACTATATGAAGATGATATAACTGACAAAAGCCCCTCTCCTGCTTACAAAGGCAACCAAATGCAGAAGGAGCTAGAAGGATGGAAGATAATACGTTACCTGCAGTGCAGTTCTTTATTGCAAAAGAATCCACAGCAGCTAAGCTTCTGTTCCCACTAGCTGTATATTCCAGTGAGATCCGAAAAGGTTTCTCAAGACGTCCAACTCTCTTCTGAAGCAGCATCCATCTGGTCTCATTGCGAGGCAGGAGGAGAGAACAAAGGACAAAAGTGGTAAGAAAAGAGGCCATTTTACAAAGAGCAGATGTCCCAAAGTGGCAGCTCCATCCCTGGCGGGCTGTACTGTCCTGCTAAAGTTGCCTCTCCCCTCCCCCAACCAGTGGCATTCCCTTCCTTAGACTTCTCAGAAGCAAGTCTCTAAGCATAAAGGTTTCCACAGAGCTGAAACATCTTGACAAATGTGTCACACCAGCTAATGACAGATTAATGCTCTCCTTGGACACACTTCTCAGCTCCAAGATCTTTTGCAGATGTCTTTCTGCTGCTTAAAAGAAGCCCAAGTTCCTTTAGCAAAGGAAGTTTGCAATCTGTTGCACACATGTACACCTTCACTAAACACCACTCCCCCTTGCTTCTCACCAACAAAGTCTGTTATTTAGATTCAAACAATAAGTCAGTCTCAGGGGGCTCTTGAATAGCTGTAATTTCCAGTCTCATACCTCCATTTGATGCAATATATTTTGTTAATATCCGGCTGACAAACTTCTAAATGGGTCCAAGGCTTAAATTTAAACTGGCCCATTTCCCTTCTTGGTCTGCATTTTGCACTTCTTTTTAGAACCCTAAATGAACGGCCCTAGAATTAAGGTTCAAATTCTGTGGTGATGTAAACTACACATGGCTGAGTAAGCGAAAGCAGGAGCAGAATCTACATATTCCTGGAAAGGCTGGAAGAAGCTGTGATGTGAGGTGTGATCTTTAGTATATATTCTACCCTCCTGTTACTTGGGTTTGGTGCTGCAATCCACTTTGCTTGCCATACACCATGGAAGTTACACCTGTTTAGATACCCTTACACTCAGTTCTTAGATTCTAACAGCTTCTTAGACATCATCACCTCTGAATTTGGTCATAATATTCCTTGTCCATGGCTAAGCTCAAAAAACAAAGAGTAAGAATACAAGTCTCCCCAAACCTCCCCAAACCTCCCACCATTCTAACCTACAGGGAAATACCTCTACAGACAAAAGGTTGGAGAACTCATTTTTTGTAGCCCATTTCATTCTTGGTTGCTGTATACTGGCTTCTGATAAAAATGTCAATTTGTGCCAGCTCCTGCAGGATACTTTGTGATAGGGGGTTGTGATATGCTGTGATTCATAGACTCATAGATTCATAGACGTTAGGGTCGGAAGGGACCTCAATAGATCATCGAGTCCGACCCCCTG